TATTTTATTTTCAAATTTCTGGTGAGTTTAATCTCATACCATGCATGTAATATAAAGCTAATAATGGGACTGTAGTGAAAAAGCAAGCCATGATGTTAACCACAATTAGGAATGAAGTTCCATATAGTACATGATTAAAAAGCAAATATTAATAAAGGTACAAAATCAGCAAAATCACAATACATTTGAGTAAAATGCCAGCAAGATACCATTGCTTATTAACGCAAAATAATACTTCAGGAAAAACTGACAACGAAACATAACAAACTTAACTGAATCCCAGTGTTATGCTCATCGTTTTAAAAAAAAGCAAATACTTTACCGGGAGCAAGACAAACTAAATTCTAAAAGAAAACATATTTCAGTGAACATTAAAGCTATAGGACAAGTCCCCCGAATGTACAAAACTATCATAAAAGCTTTAATCTTCACCCTCAGACCGTAAAAATACATCATCTTCAGGGCCGGGTAAACAGAACCTGAAAATCCACCACCATTGCCAGAATCCCAAGGATCCCCTTCATTACTGGAACTCACTGCAGTGCAGATTGAGTCGGCCCTACGTGCAGAACACCCCCTTTCAGTCTCTTTGCAGAGTTTGGTTGCAAAGTTGATAACTATGGTTATTTTTAAACAGGTATAATAACCCTGAGAAACTTTTGGAAACGAGATGTGGACGGTGTGGCGAGTGGGCCAATTGTTTTACGCTGTGCTGTCGAGCCTTAGGGTTTGAAGCTCGCTATGTTTGGGATTATACAGGTACGGAATGTGGTGTGAGCGAAGTAGTAGAGCTGTGCACACTTCAGGTTTGGGTTTACAGTCTGGGCTCATCGCTTTTTGTCTATTACTTTCTGGCCTTGTCAGTCTGAGCTCCCATTTGCCTTCTGTAAATAACACTAATACCAACTTGTAAGTTTTTTGTATAGAGTTGTACACCTACCATTTTGCCTGGTACTTTAAACATGGCCTATAAACATTCTTTTATTAACCATTTACCATGACATTTGTAACAGTGCTTTTTCTGTATGAGTAATAACATGTAATATGCTGTAGAAACCTTTATTTTTGTAGAGATTAGTATAAAAGACATAGTAATCTTAAACCTCAGTATACAAAAAAAATTAATAAAAGCCATGTGAAATTTATGTTGTTCTTATTTAGAAATGATTTATCATCTACACGTTAAAAAGTTGTTTTCCTTGTTCTTAGAATTTTACTTGTGTTTCTGTTGTTTTGTAGGATAAAATGAAACCTTCACTTAAGAGTTACTGTTCTCTTACAGTCAAATATAGAACATCAATAGCCAGAGATCCTTTGGGAGGCCTCCTACCTGTTCTGAGTCGTAAACGTCAAGAGAGACTGCAGTTTCCAAAGTGGCATTAGCTCCACATTAGCAAAAGCTGAGGCCCATGTTTCTGATGCCGTTGTTCAATATGTTCACCTTTTTAGAGTTATGGTTCACATAATTTTTAATGACACTTAAAACTAACCACCTTAAAGGACATTTTCCAAAAATATTTTTAAGGGTTTCAAAGAGAGAAATGAAAACAAATGTTCTGGAGTTTTGTGTGCCCCAAAATGCTCAGTCCTATTAGCTAAAATTTAGACTGTTAGAAATTATTATATGATCCTTATCTTAGCAGTTTGTATGTAGTTGTTGGAAATCATTCTGGTTTTATAAACTTAACTTTTATATTCTTTCTTCCTGCTGTTTTCTTGTGTCTTACTTGAGTAGACCATGTCTGGACAGAAGTCTATTCACCTTCTCAGCAGCGGTGGCTGCACTGTGATGCATGTGAAGATGTCTGTGATAAGCCACTCCTTTATGAAGTAGGGTGGGGCAAGAAGCTTTCCTATGTCATAGCATTTTCTAAGGATGAGGTAAAGCATAAGAAAAAAAGGGTTTTTTCTAAGAATAAAGTAGAATTTCTTTCCTTTTTGGACAGCTTTTGAAGATATATTTGACATATAATAAGCAGCATACATTTAAAGTGTACAGTTTAATAAATTTTGTCACTTGTATGCACCCATGAAATCATCTTTGCAGTCAAGATAGTGAACATATGCACTATATCTGGAAGTTTCCTTATGTCCTTTGTTATCCCTCGTTTTTGCCCCTCTTTAGGCAACCATGGACCATGGATCTGCTTTCTCTCGCTGTAGATTTCTAGGTTGTCGTTTTGGTTTTTTTTTAGTGTTTATTTTTTTTGAGAGAGAGAGCATGCAAGCGGGGGTGGGGGTGGGGGGAGAGGGAATGAGAGAGAGAGAGAGAGAGAGAGAGAGAGAGAGAATCCCAAGTAGGCTCCACTCTGTCAGCACAGAGCCTAACATGGGGCTCAATCTCACAACCGTAAGATCATGACCTGAACCCAGATCAAGAGTCAGACACTTAACCAACTGAGCCACCCCAGCATCCCATTTCTAGAGTTTTATATAAAATGGAATTAATACAATATATATGCTCTTTTTGGTGGGCGTGATCTGGTGTCTTTTTCTCAGCACAATTATTTTGAGATTCACCCATGTTATTCTCATGTATCAATAATTTATTATTTTTATTGCTGAGTAGTTTTCCATTGTATGCGTGTACCCTAGTTTGTTTATCCATTCACCTGTTGAGGGGCAGTTAGATAATTTCCAGTTTTTTAGTATTTCAAATAAAGTTGCTGTAAACACTTAAACACAAGTCCTTATATTGCCGTATGCTGTCTTTTCTCTTTGGTAAATGCCTAGAAGTAGAATGACTGAATCATATGGTAGAGCCATAAGAAATTGCTAAGCTGTTTTCCAGAATCATGTGCCATTCTACATTCTCACCAGCAGTATGAGAGTTGTCAGTTTCTCTGCATCCTTGCTAACACTTAGTGTGGTTGTCGGTATGTGAGATGGTATCTCATGGTGGTTTTCATTTGCATTTCCCTGATGACAAATGATGCCAGGTATCCTCTTGTGTGCTTATTTGCCATGCATCCTCCTCTTTGTCCATTTTTTTTTAAGTTGGGTTGTTCATTTTTTTATTGTTGAGTTTTGAGAATTCTTTATATATTCTGCATATAAGTCGTTTTTCAAATAAATGCTTTGCAAAGATTTTCTCCTTGTCTGTGGCATGTCTTTTCATTCTGTTACAGAGTGACTTTTGAAGAGACAAAATTGAGAAAGTCCAGATTATCAATTTGTTCTTTCAGGGATTGTGCTATTTTCCTTTTAAAATGAGGTATCGTCTGCATATAACACTGTATAGTTGCACATATACAGCATAACGATTCAGTATTCGTATAGATGATGAAATGATGGATTGTGCTTTTTGATGTTATATCTAAGCAAGTTTTGCCTAGCCCAAGTCAGAATGATTTTTTCGTGTGTTTTCTTTTAAAAGTTTTATACTTTCAGTTTTACATTTGGGTCTGTCATCCATTTTGAGTTAATTTTTGTGTATAGTACAGTGTGTGGATCGAAAGTCATTATTTGCCAGATAGATGACAGATTGTTCTAGCATCATTTGTTGAAAAGGTTTTCTTTTTTCCATTGACTTGTTTTTGTACCTTTGTCAAAAGTTAGTTATTTGATATAAATTTAATACAGTAAAAATGGAAAAAGTTTTTATTAGTTGAATATTATGAAATTAACTTTGTAGATGAGTTTTAAAAAGCTAAGTATTCTGAAAATCTCATTTTATCAGTCTTTCTTGGAAGTGTACCTATTAGAGCAGTGCCTGGGTGGCTCAGTTGGTTAAGCGTCCAACTTCAGCTCAGGTCATGATCTCACAGTTTCTAAGTTTGAGCCCCGCATCGGGCTGTGTGCTGACAGCTCAGAGCCTGGAGCCTGCTTTGGATTCTGTCTCCCTCTTTCTCTGCCTTCCCCCACTCACGCTCTCTCTCAAAAATAAACAAACATAAAATTAAAAAAATATATACATGTTAGAAAATGAATAAAAAGCATATTTTTTATTTTTCTCTGCAGGTTTTAAAATTTCAAGCAAAGGATAGCATTTTAAAAATCTATTTAAGAATTCTGTACATTCTAGGAGCACCTGGGTGGCTTAGTCAGTTAAATGTCTGACTCTGGATCTCAGCTCGGATCTTCATCTCAGGGTCATGAGCTCAGCCCCCACTTTGGCTCCAACGTGGGCATGAGGTCTACTTAAAAAAAAAAACAAAAAAAAACCAGATAAGAATTACAAACGTTCTAGACAGCAGATTAAGGTTGATGGTTGTAATCTTGTCAACTGTTGTATTCTGTGATTTGAGGTGGTTGATGTCACTTGGCGATACTCTTGTAAACATGAGGAGGTAATCTCCAGAAGAACTGAGGTTAAAGAAGAATTACTTCGAGAAACTATTAATGGACTTAATAAGCAGGTATGGGTATTTGTCATTTTTGAGAAGACATTTGAAGTTTTTTATATAATCAAGAATGGCCAGTTTTTAACCCATTGAAGTTCTTAAAGTAATAGCATTACTTTGCAAGCAAAAGTATTTTAATATGTTAAATGTCTTTTCGTTCATTGAAAATTTTGAGGACCCCTTCTAAATATTGTGAGTGTTTTATGCATTAAATTGTCACATCTCAAAGTTTAGTGAAACAAAATTTCAATGTATGTAATACTAGGCATCAAAAGTATGCTGCTTTATTTTTCAAAGAAATTATGTCTTGAATATAATTACACACACTTGTCCAAGTGTGGAAACTTTTGAGACAAAGCACAGGAAATTGTTAACAATGACTACTTTTGAAAAGAGGAACTGGAAGTTCAAAAAGGAAGATTCGGTTTTTATTTTATATCCGTTTGGTAGTATTGAAATTTTTTACTATTACACACGTGTGGGTTCTTCTGTGATTTAAAAGCCAGACCATCAATTTTGTTTCTTGGCAGGCAGTTAGAATCACCTTAACCCGGTGGTTGAGACTCAGGGTGAAGTTTCCATCTGTTTGGAATTTCACCTTCTGATGTGCAGCCCTTCAAAGATCCTAAACTGAATATCTGGAGTATTAACTAGAGCTTCTCACCTTGAAATGCTCTGAACTCCGCTGTATTTACTCCACAGTACTGTGATTCTGTAAAAATTCTGCTGTGTTTTTCAGCACTTTAGCTGTCATTTTGTGCTTGGCTTCTCTCCCTCTTTAGCTCCTACCAGTTAATAATTGGCAAATGCCTGGAAGGGAAAAGAGGTGGAGCATGTTCAGTTCACCTCAATTCATTTCTTTCCTTGGGATCTTAGCTTCTACAGCTGTGCTTGCCTTGGTAGCCTTCTGTTGCATTTAAACAGGGGTTTGTTTGTGTCTGCATGTAATGTTTTGCCCAGCTTCGTACCTTTTCTCAGTAGGACAGTTGGTCTGACACAAGGTAGTCTATCGTAGCTGGAAGCAGAAATTGCCACCTTCATTTTAAATGTAGGACAGTAAAGATCATAAAGAGTTGGATATGGATCTTAAATGATTTCTTCACATAACATTTGTAAAATTATTTTCAGTTTTCCACAGTGACCTATTACTTTTCCAAATAACTACATGTGAACAAAAAGTTGGTTACGTCTGTCAGGATCCCATTAAAATATGAATGTTTTAAGTATACACTTGCTTAGAGATGGACCTCTGCACTTCCCTAATCTTAATGACTTTTTTTAAAACATGAATTACAGAGGCAAATATCTTTGTCGGAAAACAGAAGAAAAGAACTTCTCCAGAGGATAATCGTGGAACTTGTTGAATTTATATCTCCCAAAACCCCTAAGCCTGGAGAACTTGGTGGAAGAATATCTGGGTCAGTGGCTTGGAGAGTAGCCCGAGGTGAAATGGGTCTAGAGGTATTTAATTCATTATAGCATCATAATCTTTTCACTTGACTGCTTCCTATAGTGTGCTCTTTACTTACAGAAAAATGCATTCGCCAGGACCTTTCAGTTAACTTTTTACAGTAATTGTGAAAAGACATAAACGTTTGAAGAGAAGCAATAATTGATTGACATAGTATATTCACATGCAGGAATAAGGAAAGCATTTTAAAATGGGATTTTCCTATGTAAATTTTTAGTATAGTATAACTGTTACTAAAGTACATACAGAAAAAATGCACAAATTATAAGTGTGTATAGCTTAACAAATTTGTGCAAATTGAGCATCCATGTAACCACCAACCAGAGTGGCAGATAGGCCACCAGAATCCCAGGAATGGCCATGAGTTCCCTTCCGGTCACTTCTCACCACTAAGAGTATCCATTATCCTGGTTTCTAACCTCATAGATTGATTTTGCCTATTATTGTGCTTTATGTAAATGGCATTGTACCATATGTACTCTTTGGTGAGGAGTTTTTTTCTTTTAACATTACTTCATGAAATTCAGACTTGTTGCTGCATGGTTATGGCACATTTTTTCTCACTGATATATAATAATGTATAAATGCAGTTTATCCGTGCCACCATTGATGGGCATTTGAGTTTCTAGGTCTTGGATGTTAAAAGTTGTACTGCTGTGAACATTTATATACATGTTTTCAGTGAATGTATTTATGCATTTGACTTTGATGTATACCTAGGAGTGGAATTGCTAGGTCATAGAGTAGGAGTATGTTCAGTTTGGGTAGATATGGCCAAGCAGTTTTCCAAAGTGGTTGTGCCAGTTTACACTCTGACCAGCAGCGAATGAGAGTTTGTAACATATTTGCCTGTAGTTGGTATTGTCTTTTTCATTTTAGCAGTTCTGGTGGTGTGTAGTACTATTATATTGTGGTTTTACCTTGCATTTTTGCATTTACCTTGATGACTAATGAAGTTGAATGCCTGTCCTGTAAATTTTTGGATATCATCTTTTGGGAAGTGCCTGTTTAAGTTTTTCAAAATAAGATTTTATACATTTTAGAAAGGCTTGTTTTACCTTTTTAGAAATTTTTTTATAGTACAATGAGACAAATAATAGAATCTGGATAATTCAGTGAAGGAAAGTGTTTATTTCTTGTTATTTACTTGCCTATATCTGTTATTGGCTAGAAATGATCATTGCTGCTGTGATTACTATTGCCAAATTTATATTAAGACATTCTCTCTTGATTAATGTCCCCAAATTAAATAATGAACAATGGACATATGCCTGTAGTTAGGGGCTAGGTGAGAAGCAATGTGTCTGTAATGAACAGTAAGAAAGTACAGTAGACTGTCCCTTGCCCTTAGGGAACTTAAAGTTGACTCATAAATGTCTAAGAAGGTATGTAATGAAAAATGCTTGGAAGGAAAATACCCACCACAGTATCATATCAAACAATTCCAAACAAAATAGAGTTTTATATCTACTTTTTCTAGATTTGCCATTGTTGCAACTAATTTCTCCAATAAAGGAATATGTCCAAAATGGGTTAATTATCCCCAGTAAACTTTATGTTTGCTTTTTAATTTACTTCATCATCTTTAGGAAGCAGTTGGAAGGGTTGGTTCAGCCATAGAATTACACGATCTAAATTCAACAGATAATTCAAATCACTGCTGATGCAGTGCAAGTTACAAGTATAAATCTAAATGAAGCCAATTTAAAAGAGCTAATTTAATTCACAGCTGTGTTCAATTTAAATAAAACGTCGATATTATTTAGGTCTTTATTCTTTTTTCTTTTTATGGATGGATGTGCTTCCTCTTGTATGGCATATAAGTTGATTAAACTTTAAAAATATGAATTGGGTCATATGCCTGGATTGTCTTCCCTTTTGAAATTTTTTTTTAAAACTTCTGTTACTGGAGACCATTAGGGTCATGGATTTAAAAAATCATTTTCCTCTTTAGAAGTAGATGTTCATTTTAAAAGTTAATTGAAAAATGTTAGTCCTAAAAAATTATGGAACTCTACCTTGAAATCATTTGGAAAAAGAAGGAAACATTGGTGATATCATTTCAGAAAGAAAAGTTTATCTTAATCTTAGAATTAAAAGATTTTATGAAATATTAATGTTATTCTGAATCTAGATTATTCAGTTGCATACACAATTATGTGCAGTAGCATAAATATTTTTCTTTTCTCTTTGGTAATTAGTTATCCTTTGTTAAATAGTAGATAATGCTACTTTTGAATTTTATTTCCATTGAGTTTATGTCAGCACCCTAAAATATTTTTGATAAAGAAGAAAAGAATTGGGGAGTTTTGTTATATGCTTGTTTTGAAGTTATAATCCATAATTATAAATCAATTTCTAAAAATAAGCTGCTTTTTTTTTAAACCTTTTTAACAGTGATATTCATAGGTTCTACTAGGGAATTCTGTTTTTCATACATTTAATACTACTGTTTAATAATTCCAACGTGATATATACACACACAAACATTATTTTTTCTCTTTTTGTTTCTAAGATGTTTTCTATTTTGCTTATTGATTGTTATGCATTTGAAGTTTTCATATTGTTTAATACCTAGTACCCAATGTTTAACAAGAAAGCATTGCCTACTATTTTGATTGATTAGCAAATACTGTGGCAAGACATTGACACAGACTAGAGCACTGGTTCTCAGTGGTGGTTGATTTCGCCTTCCAGGGGATTTTTGGCAATGTCTGGAGACAATTTTGGTTGTCACATCTGGGCGGAGGGGTGCCACTGCCATCAAATGGACAGAGGCCTGGGCTGCTGCTAAACAACCTGCAATGTACTGGGCATCCCTTACTACAAAGAATTAATTGTCTGGCCCAGATGCTACTATGCCCATGTCTAAAGGACAGGGACCAGTGTTTTAGTGGCATATAAAGATGTGGGATAGGGGCGCCTGAGTGGCTCAGTCAGTTGAGCGTCCGACTTCGGCTCAGGTCATGATCTGACAGCTTGTGAGTTCGAGCCCCACGTCAGGCTCTGTGCTGACCGCTCAGAGCCTGGAGACACAGATTCTGTGTCTTTCTCTCTCTCTCTGCCCCCTCCCCCACTCACACTCTGTCTCTGTCTCTCAAAAATAAATAAATATTAAAAAAAAAAATTTTTTTTTTAAGATGTGGGATAAATGTATCATCTTTCTCAATCTTTAGATTCACTCAGTGATTTCAGATTTCTAGGGATTGATTTTCATTACAATAAACATGGATTTATTTGGGGGCTAGGATGCAAATTTTTCCTGGAATTCTAAGGTAAAACATGAGCTTCACACATGTAGAAGTTTGTTTCAAGCTATGTATCCCAGGCACTCTCCTACCTTAGAGTATCAAGAAAGGACACTGATGAAATGGCTTTGAGGCCTGAAAGAAGAGAAAGAATCAAGTATATGGAGAGTAGGAAAACAACATTCCAGATAGCAGGAACAGCATGTCAAGACCCTGAGGCAGGAACTAGCTGGACCTTTTTGAGGAGCTAATGGAAGACTACCATGAGATTGGTTTGAGAAGTAAGCAGGGAATAGATCATTTAGAGCCCTGTTAGCCTTGGTAAAGGTTTGGAGTTTAAGTACAGTGGGAAGTCATTGGAGTGAGCTAAGCAAGAAAGTGACATATCCCAATTTACATTTCTAGAAAATCACTTTCATTACTATGTGGAGCTTGGATTGGAAAGGTAAGAGTTGATAGCTGGGAGTCAACTTTAGGAGACAACTGAAGGAGTCCAGTTTGGAGATGTTGGTGATAGAAATGAACAAAAGTAAATGAATTTAGGTTGAACATAAATCACAACAATATAAATCAGAGCTATGGTTTATACATCTCATTTTCTGTTTAGTAATTTTTGGAGCTATATCCACATCATACTAATCATATTTAACCTATAAAATGTTTTCCAAATTTTTTAATGGCACCAACTCTTCATTTTCAAGTTGAAGGAATCTCTTAACCACTGGATGTAGCAGTTCTTCATATATAGTCTTCCATTATGTTGAAAAACTAATTCTGCTTTCTTTTTAAGAGAAAAGAAACCCTGCTCATTCCCTCTGAAAATGAGAAGATTTCCAAACAGCTCCACCTTTGTTATAATATTGTGAAAGATCGTTACGTCCGAGTTTCAAATAATAATCAAACCATTTCTGGATGGGAGAATGGTGTGTGGAAAATGGAATCCATATTCAGAAAAGTTGAAACAGACTGGAACATGGTAATTTCCTGCATGAGGCTGTTTAAAAACTTTGTCATTGTTTTTAAACAAACATAGATTGGCTTCATTTTTCAGTTGTGTATAATGTGAAAACTGATATATCAAAAGTACTTTTAGTAATCCTTAAACCTGTAAAAGAAAATCCTGCTCCCAACGTTTAATCAGAAGTCCATAAGACAGTTGTGCATTTATATCAAGGAAGCATCCATTTTCATCAAAGAGGCTGAATTTAATTCATTCATGGGGAAAAAGAATCACATATATGACCAACTTGTGACTGGTTTTTTGCATGAATATATAAAATACATTGTTATTTAATCCTTTCACAGATACTTGTTGATTGCCTACTAAATGCACATTTAATCCAAAGTCCCAAGAGCTAAGCATTTAACATGCTTTCATTTCATAAGAATGTGGATGATTGAACAGTAATACTGGCTATTTCTTCTTTGTGTCCTGAAAAAGAAAGAAATGGATGCCGGACTATAGTATTTCACTTATACCAGCTTGCACATTGTTTTCACATGTTCCCAGTTAATAGTAAGAAGCTTTGCTTTTAAAGTGTCCTACCACTTAGACACACACCAAAAATAAACTCAAAACTATTCACATGACCTCAGCAGATCTAACCATATTATTGATAGATTTTCATAGGAATTAGTGAACTTAGAGGGAGCTTTTAAAGTTAACTTGCCAGGATGTTTGGGAAGGGAAGTTGCTCATTTGCAGGACACATTGGCTAGATTTAAAGAGCGAGTCACAGGTTAGCAGCTGCTAGTGTATAGGAGCATCTACAATATGCTTGTCACCGTACTAGGCATTAGTCAGAGTGCAGAAGACGTAAGGGTAAGATCCCTGCTTTTTTTTTTTTTTTTTTTTTTTCCAGTCATAAGTTTTTGTTGTAAAATTTACCTTGGTGCTTGTTTTGGTGACCTTTTTAAATTACACTAAGAATAACTTGCCAACGTTAATAAAATTGTATAAATTATTCCTCTTGAGTTAAAGAAGAACATAAAAAATAGAGCAAGGTGAAAATTTAAATTTTAAGATATGTATATCTATAATTGATTATACAGTTAATGAGGAAGGGTAAACTTCTCTGGAAGATTATCCTTAGCCTGAAAGTTCTTCTGAACAGAAAGCAGGATAGGATAGACATGTTATTTATCCAAGGACTAAGCTGTCATTGCGGAACTAAAGAAAAAGTATGCCTTTTTCCTAACCAGCAGTGTTAATGGAGAAAATTAATGGAAAAAAAACAATGACATGCTGCAGAAGATGTGATGTGATGAGAAGTAGGTCGATTCTGTCTTATTCACTCATTTGTTCATCAGCAAACATTTACTAAATGTCTGTTATGTCAGGCATTGTTCTTGGCTCCATGGATAAAAAGATAAAGATACGGTTTCTGCCCTCACAATCTAACAGGGAAAGCCGAAGCACAAACAGCCATCTTACCCAGGATGCAGAGTGCTATAATAAGGATATCAACACATTGCTATGGAAACACCAAGGAGGGAGTAATTAGCTCTGGCTGTGGGAGTTGGGGATAGCTCTGTAGAGCAGGAGACATTTGAGCTGGACGCTGAAGGATGAGTAGGTGTTCATAAAGCAAGGGAACAGTAGGGGAAAAGCATAGATTACATGGCATGTTTTGAGTTCTCTAAATAGACCATTGTGCCCAGAGGGTATATTGTATGAGTAAGATTTAAATAATGTAAATGAGATGCAGAGGCCATTAAATAAAAAAAGGCTCCTACTCAATTAAAGTTTATGCCTTGATTTACCTTTACAAGGGGTATCACTTTTTAAAAGTTGAATGAATCTTTGTCCAGTTATAATATTTAATACTAAATGAAGAAAAATAGTTGAATCTTAATTACCCCTATAGAGTCTAATAACTCAGAAGTAATATATTGCCATTGAAACATTGAATTTTCCACCTAGAAATAAGTCAATATTTTTAGTTTTGTACTAGCATGTTTCCAATTAGGGATTCTCTATGTCCACTAAATAGAAGAAGAAACCTAACCTACCTATTTCCCACCACACCTTTCCTCAGTAACCTCCAGCCTGGAATCATGACAGCACATGCAGCCTGCTCTCAGATATTTAGAACAGATTCTTACCGTCTCAAAGAGCTAGTCTCCCAGGTACACAGAGACTTACTAAATTTTACTACTTAGCAGATACATTGTTCAGTGATGTCTAATTTGGAAGAAATATAAAAAGCTGAATCAAGAAAACCAGTATGCCTTTTAGGAGGCAGGTGACAACACCTTGAGAAAAGTGTTAATAGCTTCCTAACTAGTCTTTCTGCATCTGCTCTGGTCCCTTCATAGTTGTTTTCCATGGTGTAAGGCAGAAAAGCATTTTCCAAACCCTAGTCATTACTGAGTGATCTTAGGACAAGAAACAACTCAAGTCTCTTCTGAGTCTGGCCTCTGCCTTCTTGGCCTCGCCTTGCTCCATGGTACCCTCTTGCTCTGCATTGCAGCTGCATTGCCCTTCTCACCTCTCCACAGGACTTCTTTTACTTTCCTTTTTGTTAGATTCACTTATTCCTGTCCTTCGAGCTTGGTGTAAGCCTCGCTCCCTCCAGTCCCAGCTAGCTGGATTCATTTCTCCCTTTATTTATTCACTGTACCATGTACCCCTCCTTCTTGACATTTATTCAACAAATATAATAGATTATTTGTCTCTATCCTACCAGATTGTAAACATTCTCATAGAAAAGACTTTGTCTTTCTACTCCCTTGTCCTCTCAGTATGCATCTATCTAGCATAGTGCCTGAGAAATATTTAGTAAAGATGGCTGGATGCAAGAAAGAATTTTTGAATGTATATGGCGTAAATTCTATACCACCCTCAAACTGTGTAGGGTATCAAAAATAATCTATCTTCATTTGGATTGCCCCTTGCATGTTTTTAAGTACTTTGCATTTTTGCAAAGTATTGTTTTTGTCAGTAGAGTCATTTTAGCACTTTTTGGGGGTATGGCATTAGTCATTAGTCATTCAGTAAGTGTGCATTGTCAGACATTGTGCTTGGATGTGATATGATGTGCTTGGATGTGCTTGGACATGATGTAATGTTTAATTAAGAGTCAAGCATCAAGGTGAGCTTAGACTAGTGAAGGAAAAAGACATGGACCAGCTGTTTAGATTGGTGAGATGACTGGTAGAAGAATATGGGTCTGTATATGACTCCAAGGGAGAGAAGACAGAAGGAAGAGCCACTGTCCCTTCTTGAGTCAGAGATGACCTTGCAGAAGAACTAATGTCTGAATAGGCTTTTAGAGAAGGAGGCAGTGGACGAGTTTCTCAGTGTGGAGACAGGATGTAGAAGGAGCATGAGATAGAGCATGTGCAAAGACACTGAGGTGAGAAACGTCTGGTATATTCAGGGGAAAGTAGTAGGGAATATGGAGGAGAATGGTGGGAAATGAGACTAGAGAGGTAAACAGTAGTCAGGTTCCAAGGACTTTGATTACCTTGCAGTTACGTAACAGGAAACCACGAGAGATTTCAGACAAAGGAAGGATAAGATCACACTAGTGATCAGAGGTAATTCAGAGGCTGCCGGTAGGAGAAATAGACAGAGTATAGAAAGATACTAATGCAGTGGGGACTGACCGATTCATGTTTGACTTCAGTGATAAAATGGAATAACCGAAATAAGATTAATGAGCAATACCAACCAGTCTATAAGTATTAAATTAAAATCTCTTGAAATATAGCTGTTCTTTTAGGTATCTGTAGGCATGACTAACTGTAGAGTGCTGCACAGTAAACTTAATTAGAGTTCATCTTGACAGGCAAAACAGAAGAATCATTTTAAGAGTATAGTGAAGAACAGCTTCAACAGTGCAGCACAAACCTCCGGAAAACCATAACAGTGGACAAAACAGCCTGGCATGTAGTAATCAGACACCCTTTAAGTGAAGGTCTGTAGGATGTGAAATACATAAAACATAAAGAAGCTGACATGCAAATTGCTCTCAATCTTGAAAATAGTGGTTACAGCCATAATCCAAAGGACAAGTTTACATTGTGTACATTGTTAGGGGCAAAGCTTAGACTTTCCAGCCACAGACAGACTGGTTTTGTTCTCACCCACAGGTTGTGATCTGCCTGTTCTGTGTGTGCCTTACAGTTGCCAAAAAGGGACAGGGATAGGTCACCGGAGGGAGGGGTGGGGTGCTGTGTAGATTTCGGGTCTGTGGAAGGAAAACTCCATGACTTCTGATTTTATTGTCCCTGCTGCGAAAGTGAGGTGGCTCAGTAGTCCCTGAAATTGCAAGACCAAGCAGGTACAACTTGCCCACAGCAAGTGATACCTATGCATTAAAAAACCAACATCCAAAAATTTGTCTAAGGTAACACTCAAGAAGTTAGGAGCAACCAGTAGTTACAAAAAAAATGGTTTGTTTTTTCATCTAGACAAAACAATTGAATATTTGAGAGCTTATAAAATGCTTTTTTCTCCTAAATAAATTATAAGTACTGGTTCTGTTGCTGTTATACAGAGAGGACTACGGTTGGGTGTTTATATAAATCTTACTGTTTTGGCATATTTCAAATGATCAAACTGAGTATACATATGCTTGGTAACTTCTACCTCTAAAAACGCTGAGTTAGGGTGCCTGGGTGGCTCAGTCGGTTGGGCGACCAATTTTGGCTCAGGTCATGATCTCACACTTTGTGAGTTCGAGCCCTGCGTCGAAACTCTGTAAGTATAGTTTTAAAAGTAAAATGTAAGGGAAAACTGTAAGTATAGTTTTAAAAGTAAAATGAAAGTATTCGTGAGGAAATGTTAGGCTGACAGCTCAGAGCCTGGAGCCTGCTTCTGATTCTGTGTCTCCCTCTCTCTCTGCCCCTCCCCCACTCATGCTCTGTCTCTCTCTCTGTCTCAGAAATAAATAAACATTAAAGTAAATAAATTAATTAGTTAAATAAAAATGCTGAGTTAAAATAACTTGGTTAAAATGGTACAGAAAATATATTGTGAGAAAAAAGTGACATGAATTTTCAATATCAGTAGTCTTTTATTTCCATATACTGTTTCTTTAGCCTGGGAGACCTTTTATTTTTTCACAATGTGTTTGAATGTTTATTTAAGCATTTAAGAGTTCAGTGATGAATTCCATCCTGTCCTTTAACTTTTTTGGTCTTAAAAACTGATGCCTTTAGGACTGAAAAATGTAAATTATAGAACAAGCAGTTCTGTCAGACATGTTCAACAGCTATTGAAAACCTTCTTATGATAGTTAAAGTTGTGGCCCAGACCCCCTTGGTATAATTAAGATAATTCTAATCTCGGGGCACCTGGGTGGCTAAGTCGGTTAAACATCCAACTTCAGCTCAGGTCATGATTTCACAGTTTGTTGGTTTGAGCCCCACACCGGGCTCTGCGCTGACAGCTCAGAGCCTAGAGCCTGCTTCGGATTCTGTGTCTCCCTTTCTCTCTCTGCCCCTCCCCTGCTCATGTTCTCTCACTCTCTCAACAACAAATAAACATTAAAAATTAAGGGGCGCCTGGGTGGCGCAGTCGGTTAAGCGTCCGACTTCAGCCAGGTCACGATCTCGCAGTCCGTGAGTTCGAGCCCCGCGTCGGGCTCTGGGCTGATGGCTCAGAGCCTGGAGCCTGTTTCCAATTCTGTGTCTCCCTCTCTCTCTGCCCCTCCCCTGTTCATGCTCTGTCTCTCTCTGTCCCAAAAAATAAATAAATGTTGGAAAAAAAAAATTAAAAACAAAAAAAAAAGTTCTGGGGGTAAGCTAGAAATTTGAAATTACCCTAACGTCAATCTTTCATATTTTACGTCCACACTTTGGCAAGGGTGGGATGGGGGAGGGGGAGCTTTTATTAGACTACTGAGCTCTAAAAAGACTTAAAACATAAAATATATATATGTATATATATAGAGAGAGAGACATATGTATATATAGAGAGAGAGACATATATACGTATATAGAGAGAGAGAGACATAAATTTGAATGTATTTATTTGTCTTAAGATAATTTTCCCCTGGTCTTTTCATTTCTCTAGCCACCTTTCTTCCAATAACTGTTTGGCTCATCTTTTCCAGATAACCCCCTTTACTAGCCACTCCTTTGAAAGAGTAATTAAGCTACAGATAATCCCTGTAAATGGCCAGGAGTTTAGGTTTAATGCATGAGCCAGTTACTTGCTGTACATCCTAGACCATGCAAATGATAGGAAGGAAGTGAGCCTTTAAAAACATTAATTAGCATGAATAGACACTTCTCTAAAGAAGACATCCAGATGGCCAACAGGCACATGAAAAGATGCTCAACGTCACTCCTCATCAGGGAAATACAAATCAAAACCACACTCAGATGTCACCTCACGCCAGTCAGAGTGGCCAAAAAGAACAAATCAGGAGACTATAGATGCTGGAGAGGATGTGGAGAAATGGGAACCCTCTTGCACTGTTGGTGGGAATGCAAACTGGTTCAGCCGCTCTGGAAAACTGTGTGGAGGTTCCTCAAAAAATTAAAAATCGATCTACTCTATGACCCAGCAGTAGCACTGCTAGGAATTTACCCAAGGGATACAGGAGTACTGATGCATAGGGGCACTTGTACCGCAATGTTTATAGCAGCCCTCTCAACAATAGCCAAATGATGGAAAGAGCCTAAATGTCCATCAACTGATGAATGGATAAAGAAATTGTGGTTTATATACACAATGGAGTACTACATGGCAATGAGAAAGAATGAAATATGGCCCTTTGTAGCAACGTGGATAGAACAGGAGAGTGTTATGCTAAGTGAAATAAGCCATACAGAGAAAGACAGATACCTTATGTTTTCACTCTTATGTGGATCCTGAGAAACTTAACAGAAACCCATGGGGGAGGGGAAGGAAAAAAAAAAAAA